ACAAAGCAAGGCAAGCTCAAGGTGGATCTCAAGGATACCACACAAATTCCGAGCACATGTTCAAGGCCACAAGGCCAGTTCACATGCACCAGAGCAAATATATATAACAGTCCTAAACAAGCAAGAAAAGGTATATATACATATGCAGCAGTACAAGCAAGGTCAAGATGTAAGCAAGTGAGGCCCAGTGGGCACAAGACCAAGTAGAGTGCAAAAGCGCTGATGGTCAACAGGCGGAAGTGCATTGGTGAACATATCAGCAGTGTTGGCCTCAGTGGCCACGTAACGCAGGCGAAGCTGACCACGCTGCTGTAGCTCTCGAGCCAGGAAGTAGCGCAGAGCAATGTGCTTTGTCCTGTGCTCCAGTCTGTGCTCCTCACACAAGGTAATGGCTGCCTTGTTGTCGACGTACAGCACTGGAGGAGAACGAGGCCGCTCTCCAAGGTCAGTCAGCAGGTAGGTAAGCCAGCGAAGCTCCTGGGCAGCCATGGCCGTGGCGTAGATCTCAGCCTCGCAGCTGGAGCTGAGAACAGAAGAAGAGCGTGTAGAACGCCAGGAAACAGAGCCAGAGCCAAGGCTGAAGGTGTAACCCTGAGACGACCGCTGAGTAGCCTGGTCGTCCGCCCAAGAAGCGTCTGAGTGCCCTGTGAGAACCGGCCGGTCTCGCCCTCCAAGCACTAGCCCCATGCCCGACGTACTGCACAAGTAGCGCAACACCCTCTTAGCTGCATCCATGTGCTCCTTCCGTGACGGCCGGGAGCGACATAGCGTGCAAGGATGCTAAGAGGGTATGCAAGGTCAGGTCGTGTGCAGGTCATCAGGTACATGAGGCAACCCACAAGCTCTGGATACGGGCCACTCGGCTCTACGGACTCATCCGAAGGCAGAGCTGAGAGCGAGTGTCCCGTAGGCAGAGGAGTGGGCTGAGGCGAGGAGTACGTGAAGCCGAAGCGCTGAAGGACCTGCTGCACCATGTGTGACTGAGTCAGGGTAATGGTGCGGCGTGCTCTGTCCCGGGTGATCCGCAAGCCAAGATAGCTTGTCAGTTCACCCAGGTCTGTGCACGTGTGTCTCTTCTGCAGCTCGGACTTCACGTGGGCGAGACCAGCTCAGTCCGCAATGGCAAAGACCAAGTCGTCGACGTACACAAGGATGTAGAACGGCGGCAGCGAGGCGTTGGTGCGTAGAAACAGCGACGGGTCAGCAGTAGAGGGAGCGAACCCAAGAGCCGCAAGCGTAGTCCTCAGTGTGTCGTGCCACTCACGCAGGTGCCTGGCGGAGAGCGTAGACTGGCCGCTGGAGGCGCCACTGGCAGGTACCAGGAGGGAACGACCAGTGAGGCCAGGTGGGCGGCGCAGCCAGATCTCCTCGTGCAGGCTGCCCTGCAAGAAAGCAGTGCTGAAGTCAAGAGAGTGGAGCTCGTAGTCACGCTGAGCGGCGACGTGCAGCAGCACCCGAAGAGTGGTCATCTTCGGGGTCGGGGAGAAGGTCTGGAAGAAGTCAACTCCCTGCCGCTGACTGAAGCCACGAGTCACGTACCGCGCCTTGAAGACAGGCGGAGAACCCGGCGGCCGCTTCACCCTGAAAATCCACATGCCACTGACAATGTTCGCCCCAGGTGGGGGAACCTCGTCGACGTAGGTGCCTGTGGACTTCCAGGAAGCCATCTCTGCGTCCATAGCAGTCTGCCACTGAGAGGAGTAGGGACCCGGCCATCGCCTCAGCGTAAGAGTGTTGGGTCGGGATGTCCGGAGCATCCGGGTCTCCCTCAGGGGCAACAAGCATGGACACGAGATGGGGCAAAGCAGCGGCAAAGCACTGGAACTCCTCCTGCCTGTCCTCAAGGACGTCCGTGCCAAGAGCACAGTCACCCCCGACGGACGGAGGACAGGCAGACGCGGACTCAGGAGACGTAGACTCAGTAGACGCAGACGCAGCAGACTCCGACTCAGCAACAAAGACTGGCGGCGTAGTCTAGACAACACGCGGCAGCAAAGTCGACCAGCTCAGCAACCAAGGCAAACGCAACAGCGGACTCAAAGGAAGGGTCAGTGACAACAGTAGCAAGAAGACGCATGACAGTAGGACTGGCAGCACGAAGAGAGTCCGACTCCGGGTCGGCAAGAGTAGGAAGAGAAGACGCAGGAGGAGAAGGCAAAGGGGCACGCAGAGGAGTAGTGGACGGACGCAGAGACATCCTATGCGTGCCAGGGACAGGAGGAGGACGCTGACAGCGAACCGCGACCACTAGGGCGAGCAGCACGGACAGGCGACGCAGGCCTAGACGCAGGGCTCACGACGCTCAGCAAGACCTCCAGTAGGATCAGGTGTAGGAAGACGGAGCAGGCAGTGGGAGCCGGGCTGTAGCTGTGGCTGTGACTAGACAGGCGGTGGACACGCTAGGGGAGGAGACGGACCAGAGGAAGACGGGAGACCAAGAACCTGCTGAAGGAGCGGAACGAAGTACGGCCGAGGCCGCGCAGCGGCTCCAGACACAGCAGGGACAGCACCAGCACCTCCAGCTGCAGCACCAGCACCAGTCGCAGCTCCAACGCCAGCACCACCAGTAGCACCAGTAGCACCCTCAGCAGGACCGCCAGCAGCAGACTCCGCGACAGCACCAGCACCCCCAGCGGCAGCACCAGCTCCAGCAGCAGCCCTAACCCCAGTACCTCTAGCAGCGCCAGTAGTACCCTCAGCAGGACCGCCAGCAGCAGACTCCGCGACAGCACCAGCACCCCCAGCGGCAGCACCAGCCCAGCAGCAGTCCCAACCCCAGTACCTCCAGCGGCGCCAGCAGTACCCTCAGCAGGACTGCCAGCAGTAGACTCCACGGCAGCACCCTCAGCAGCTCCAGCTCTAGAGGCACCCCCAGGCCCGGCAGCTCCAGTACACCCAGTACGAGCACCTCCGGACCCGTGGCACCAGCTCCCTCAGCAGTAGTAGAACCTCCAGCACCCGTAGCACCTCCAGCCGCAGCAGCTCGCCTCCAGCGGCGGGCAAACCACTCACGCAGCTCCAGTGGAGAGAGCTGCTCCTGGCGAGAAGAAGGACTCGAGAACCGCCAGGAACAGCACCCGCAGGCCCAGCACCCCCAGACTCTGCCACTCCAGGCGCAGCACCCCCAGGCTCAGTACCCCCAGGCTCAGCACCCCTAGGCTCCGCACCCCCAGGCTCAGCACCCCCAGGCTCAGCACCCCCAGGCTGCGCACCCCCAGCAGCACCAGAGTCACCAGTGACCTCGACAGGCTCGACCGAGCGTCTACCTGAGACACACCTGAAGGGGCAGGACCCTGAGGGGGGAGGGGGTTTACCGAGGGGGGACCTGGGACCAGGAAGAGGGGCGGCGGGGGGAGGGACGGAGTGCGGTAGGGGAAGAGGCGGTAGAAGGGGACCGACTCGTCGAACGTGACGTCCTGGGAGGACAGAACACGCCGAGAGGTGGGGTGGTAGAACTGCCACCCGGAGGCGTCAGGGGGGAAGCCCAGGAAGACGCAAGGAGCAGCACGACGGGACAGCTTGTCCGCAGACAAGTCGCGGACAAACGCCCGAGATCCCCAGACACGGAACGCCGACGCATCGCCAACCTTCCCCGTCCACAGCAGAGCTGGGGAGGTCTCCGGTCTAGAGACCCTGGGCTGAAGGTTGATCTGATGCGCGGCGTACCGGACCGCAAACGGCCACAGAAAATGGGGGGCAACCGCATGCACCATGGACGTACGGGCGACGTCCATGACCATGCCAATGCGGCGCTCAACAATCCCATTCTGCTGTGGGGAGTCCGGAAGCGTGAAGGTCTGGCGGATGCCTCGTGCCTGACAGTAGGCTCTCAGAAGGCCGGAGGAGAACTCTCCGCCTCTGTCCGAGTGCAGACGCCGAACAGAAAAGTCCGAGCCGAAGCTGTCCCTGAGCTGGAGACGAGCTGCGCGGATCCAGTCGATCAACACCTTAGTGACATCACCCTTGCTGCGCAAGGGGAAGACTGAGGTGTAACGCGAGTAGTCGTCAACCACCAGCAGGAAGTAGCGCTCGTGACCCTGCCCACGGACGCGGGCTGGGCCCCACACGTCCATGTGAAGCATCTGGAGCGGGGCCGTCGTCGGAGGAAAGGAGGAGGAGTGAGGGGTAGCCCGCAGGCGACCCTCGACACAGGGGACACAGGGAGGGCCAGGCCCAGGAGGAAGGGGAGGGAGGGACCAGGGGAAGACCTGAGACCAGGAGACGGGAGGCCATGCTTCGGAGACGAAGCAGGGAGGGGTGACCCATGCGGTGGTGCCACAGCAGGGTCTCGTGGGACAGGCTGCGACACGAGCAGGGGGCAGACTCAGGACTAGACCTGGACGCTGCAGCAAACACCTGACCCGACGCAGGTACCTGACCAGACGTAGGAGGAGGAGGAGACGGAACAGTGAGTGTGTACAGGCTCGACCCTGGCGCACGTGTAAACGTGGTCAAGTGTCGGCCCGTGTCCGCATCCGTGCAGTGGGTCTCCCGTCGACGCCCAGGGGTGAACTGGTCAACCCCGCCATCCTGTAGGTCAGCACTCGCCACCAAGTTCGTAGTGAACGAGGGGAGGTACAGACCCGACAGGGAGCCAGACAGGACCGTAGGGCACGGAAGGACAGTGGAGTAGTGAGCAAGGACAGGACCCCCAGAGGGGTCCGCCAGGGAGGACCGCAACCGGCCGACTCAGCGGCGTAAGTGTGGAGCGGTCCCGAAAGAAGGAGCGAGACGCTCCTGAGTCAAGGGTGAAGGTGAGGGAGGGCGGAGCCGACGCAGTAGACCGGAGAGAGCAGACCCGACAGCACCTGAGGACGCAGACTCACTGGCACCTAGAGCAACCACGTCACCAGCACCTAGAGCAGCAGACTCAACAGCACCTAGAGCAGCAGCACCAATGCCGGGTCGGGCGGGAAACACCGGTAACAGTCACCCTCCTCACTAATAGTCACAGCATAACATGGCGCGAAGAATAGCATCAAAGTCAAGATCAAATATAGCTACTCCTGCCCTAGACAGCTGGTCCCAGCGAGGGATCTCAGTAGAGTCGGGGAACTGGCGGCGCAAGCGTCAGTCAGGCGGCCGAAGCAGCGTTGGGTGGAGTGCGGACCCCCACACGGCTCACCCGCTCGGTCGCCAGTGCGCAGAACGTAGGTGCACGGGCCAGTACCCCCACCCCTCTGACGTGCAGCGTACTACTCACGGAGCTGCTGAGAGGAGAGGTCTCCGGGCCGGGCTGCTTGCTGCTGACGCTGACCACCACCGGGGCCACTCCTTTGCGACGAGCCACGACCGCCTCCTCCACCTCCTCCTCCGCCGCCTCCACCACCTCCGCCTCCACCTCCACGCCCAACCGCCGCCGCCACCCGCCGCCTCCGCCTCCACTCCCACCGCCACCGCCGCCGCTGCCTCCGCCTCCACTGCCGCCGCCGACGCCTCCACCTCCCCCACCACCTCCACCACCACCCCCACCCCCCCCTCCGCTTCCACCGCCGCCTCCACTGCCCCCGCCAGCTCCTCCAGCGCCCCTGCCCCTGCCCCTGCCAGGGCGACGTCTCCCACTAGGGGCAGACGCCGCGCCGACCGACTCAAAACCAACTAGGTCGGCCGTAGCAGCAGAGGCAACAGAGGGCAACAGGGGGGAGGGGGAACACCCCTCAAAGATGGGGGTGCGCGGGTCACCTCGAGAGGCTCCTACAGCTAAGATGCTCTTCTCCGCTGCTAGGAGGTCCTTCTCGAGGAGGTCAACAGTGAGGGTGGTGGGACAGACTGAGAGGAAGTGGTCCCTGACTACGCGAAGGGTGTTAGGGAGGCGGGGTGACTATGTAGTAGAGAGTGATTGTACATGGGAGGGGGGTTCTTGGCGCAGAACTCAGCAGGAAGCGCAGCGCGGTAGCGAGCGTCACTAGTGCGCAGGTGGGTAAAGAGGTCGGCGACTGTGGCAAAGGAAGCAAGGTCGGGAAAGAGTGTCAAAATTATATTTATTATAACTGCATGAAGTTCTAGCTGTAGTGTAGTTATTAAATTTGTAGGTGGTGCACCCCTTCATGTGTTCCTTTGCTATATGTATCTCGAATCCTATAGTGAAACCAACATTCTCCAATTTCTCTCTCACAACTCACTCGACTCTCACCCTAGGTGAAAACCCGCTCGATACCTAGTTAAGGGCCTAGGCTACTAAGCCTAGGCCCCTCACCTTTCAACTTAATCTACTTTAAGTTCGACATGTTATCGGAGCTGTTTTCGTCCTGGCCTGTGGGCCCGCGTTACTCTTCCGCTGCTGAGATTTTCCGGTCGCGCGCCTAGGGCGCGTGACGATTTTAGTTTTACTTTGTCCCGCCCACGGGCGTGTGACTCCTACCCTGCCCGTCGCGCGCCCCGTGGCACGCGACGGTGCCCTTTATCTGCCCATCGTGCGCCCCGTGGCACACGATGGTGCCCTGCTCGTCGTGTGCCCCGAGGCACACGATCGGGCCCTTTTATCCTACCCGTCGTGCGCCCCGTGGCACAGGCCCGCGACGGGCCTCTCCGCCCCTGCACTCCCTGCTGCCGCCCCCAGACCCATCTGCACCGACGCCTCTTCGCCGCTCTGCGGCTTTCTTCCTTCCCACCCCCCCTTTTCTCTTGTCTCCCTGCAGCCGTGGGGAGGAGGGTATGGGGGTGGAGGGTGTTGGAGCGGTGGGTCAACTCTCTCCCTTCCCCTCCTCCTTCTTTCAGTCCCACCTCTGCAGCTGCTGCTGGGGGGGGAGGGTGTGAGGATGTGGGTGAGCAGGAGGAGTGGTACCGGGGTGGCGGGTGTGAGGCAACAAGCAGCCGTCCCTCCACCTCTCCTCTCTTCCCCCCTTCTCTGCTGCTTCTGCAGCAGTGTGGGGGAGGGGAAGGAGGAGGGTGAGGAGATGGAGGGGGTAACCTTTCAAAGTTAGCCCGCCTGCAGTACCTGCTGTTGCTTGTTTTATTGCTCGTTGGTGTACCTCTGCAGGTTGTGCTCGACACTTAGCTATTCCTGCATGCAGTTACGGGGGGATGTCAAAATTATATTTATTATAACTGCATGAAGTTCTAGCTGTAGTGTAGTTATTAAATTTGTAGGAGGTGCACCCCTTCATGTGTTCCTTTGCTATATGTATCTCGAATCCTATAGTGAAACCAACATTCTCCAATTTCTCTCTCACAACTCACTCGACTCTCACCCTAGGTGAAAACCCGCTCGATACCTAGTTAAGGGCCTAGGCTACTAAGCCTAGGCCCCTCACCTTTCAACTTAATCTACTTTAAGTTCGACAAAGAGGTACGGTAGCATGAGGCGGCTCAGTGCAGCTGTGGCAGGGGAGGAGTAGCGTGCAATAACGGCGTCGTACAAGGTCTAAGCACTCTTGTACGACCCAAAGTGTGCACGCTCAGGGGGAGGGAGGTGGCGACGCACAGCAAGACGTGCAAGCAGCATCGCGTGTGGCCCACTGTGAGCGAACAGTGGCATCCTCAGTAGCAGCAGGGGCGGGAGAGGCACCAGAAGTGAGATCAAAGAGAGAGAGGCCGTCAGCTCTGTCGCACTGTAGGAAAAGCAGTAGTTTCGTCTACCCACACGTCAAAGTCGATGGCTCTGCCCTCAGCGTCAAAGGTGAGGACACTGGGGGTAGCCATGACAGCAGTAGGGTGAGGGCAGTGCGAAGAGTTAAGCTCAGTGCTCACCAGACAGGGCAGTGCAGGCGGCTCGGGCGGCTCGGGCAGCTCGGCTGCTTGGCTGCTGAGCGGCTCGGGCGGCTCGGCGGCTCGGCTGCAGGGCGGCTCGGCTGCAGGGGCGGCTCGGCTACTGGGGCGGCTCGGCTGCTGGCGCGGCTCGGTTGCTGGGGCGGCTCGGCTACTGGGGCGACTCTGCTGCTGGGGCGGCGGGGACGGGAGATGCAGCGGCGGGGCCGTCAGGGGTAGTGGCGGGGCCGGTAGGTGAAGCGGCGGGGCCGTTAGGTACAGCAGCGGGGCCGGCAGGTGAGACGGCAGGGGCCCGCATGTGAGGCGGCGGGGCCGGCAGGTGCAGCAGCGGGGCCGTCAGGGCTAGTGGCGGGGCCGGTAGGTGCAGTGGCGGGGCCGTCAGAGGGGACGGCGGGGCCTTCAGGTGCAGTGGCGGGGCCGTCTGAAGCAGCGGCGGGGCTGGCAGAGGGGACGGCGGAGCCGTCGGGTGCAGCGGCGGGGCCGGCAGAGGGGACGGCGGGGCCGTCAAGTGCAGCGGAGGGGCCGGCAGAGGGGACGGCGGGGCCGTTACAGGCGATCGCGGGGCCGTCAGAGACGGCGCCGGCGTCGCGAGGGTCAGAGGGGGCGGCGCGCGACTGGAGGGCGGCACGCTCGACGCGGCGCGGCCGTCTGGGGCAGCGCGACGAGGTCGCGTAGGTGGCGCGCCAAAAAAAATTGAGGGCGGCTCGATGCGATCGGGCCGCCAAAGGAAAAAAAAAAGGCCGAGCGCGACTCGGGCTAGGGCAGAGCGCGCTCCGGGCAGGAAGGAATAGTAGGTGGGCCCTAGGAACAGTTCCCACTAGGGAACCTGCTCGATACCATGTTAAGATAGAGACGATGAATGAATCACTATGGAATGAAAATGAGTACAAGTAGCAACCCTAATTGGGTTGTACCCCCTATGGTCTACCCCAACAGCAGCCTACAATACATGTATCAGCTAAATATAATCTGACACCTATGGCTAGGGAATAGGATGTAATCCCTTATTGTGAGAAGAAATTGGGCTAAAAAACACATCCAGATGTTTAAACGGTGACATGTTGCGTACATGCCTATCCTTGCACAGTTTCATGCCATCAAACGCACAAACAAGCGCAACGAGCTGCGTAGTTGGGCGAATGAAGTCAAACCAGTTCCTATGGCTAGGGAACAGGATGAACTACCTCAATGTTGGCTGACACAATGTTTGATGCTTTGAATATTAAAAAAACAATACTTATGAGCAACATATACGTACATCAGGTTTATCATTGCATGCATATATATGTAATCTTAGATCGGACAGTATAAAATTGTATGCACATAACTGTATATGAGGAGCATTAATTATATTACAATGTTTCCTCATTATGTTAGCATACATGTATATGAAAGTTTGGAAATTCCAGTATTCATCCAACCAATGCGTTGGCTTCTTTGTGGCTGTGAACAGATATCGCTTTAATCTGTAACCATTTGTGACATTGTTTCTGGTCGCTTTGTTGTATTCAGAAATGGATATTGGACGGAAAAGGCTCGTAAGTGCGTCAGTCTTTTAGTGTAATTGACGTGTACTATGGGGTCACAGAACTGCCATGCTGCTGAAGAAAATCGAAAATTGTCGAGCTGGCAGCTGCGCAGCCCTTGCGATTGCTGAGCAGCGCACTCCTGTACGCCCAAGATGCTTCCGCGGCCAATCGCAGCTCAGCGTCGTGACAACTCTGCTGACTGAATGACCAATCCAGTCGCAAACACCTACAGAAGCTGCTTCGCGGTTGCTGAGGCACAGAGGGGCCAAATCAGAAGCTTTGACGCCACGCTGGCGGTTGCCTCGCTGGTACGCCAGTGGCAGGTTTTGTCGCCAGGTGAGGTGCCCCGCACCCTGCCACCCCTCCTCCCACCCCCACCCCCCTCTCGTCATCTCACACTCGTTCTTACAAACAAGCAGTATCTGTCGCAAGTCATTCTCATCGACGAGACCCAGATTTGTGACTGCAGTCATTTTCGTCCCCTACGTTTGTGACTGCGGTCTAGTTCGTTAGTTTTGTGACTGCAGTTGGTGCTGTTGTTCCTCGGATGCATTCCTGCACTTCATTAGTTAAAAAAAATGGCAGCAGCCGAGTCGAAGTGCTTCAGCTTCTTGTTCCGTTTTTTGTTCTACGCGTGACGATAATCCCTTTCTTCGATTTTATTTTCCTTTTTTTCATTAGAATTTGTGTCTGCTCGCCTGTGTTTTTTTCTTACCAGGCCTGTTTCTGTCAAGAATAATATATATTTCTATATATTGTTTTTGTAACTGCCTGTAGTGTAGACTAGTGTAGTTATATAATGTTCTGTTTTGGTGGTGCACCCTTCATTCTGCCTATATGTACTGCTCGCTCTATAGTGAAAACACTTCTTCTCTTTTCAACTTTCTAGACTCTAACTCAACTCACTCGAACTCAACTAGCTATGGCTCCTTAGCCTAGCTTAAGTTTTCACAGTTTCCCCCGTCAACGTTTTTCAATCTCGAGCATGGTAATCGTGCCAAGGTAAGCGATTCAATTCGGTAAGTTTTTCTTCAACCCGCTCGACTGTTCTTACTGCTCGTCGTTTACCTTGAAAGGTTTCTTTTATTTCCTCATATGTTCGCATTGCTATCTTGTTCGCGTGCGTTTCTGTTTATCAGGCACGTTGTCGTCCAACGAGATGCTGAATCCCGCGTGGTCGCCATGGCGAGGTATGCCTGGCATTTAACTTACAGTTTTTGTGCTGCTTTTTAAACTTGACTTGCAAGTTGGTTTTTTCCTTGCAGGTCGTCTCCTTAGCTTTTACAAGGCTGCTTAGTGCTAATGTTGGCCAGTGCAATCAGCAAGTATAGCTTTTTTAGTGCTACGCTTAGAGCAGCCTGTGTTGTTTGTATTCATTGTATTAGGAAGTTTTAACAAATGCGGAGGTTAAATTAAAAATTCGAGTTGATTAATTCACCTTAATCATTCTGAGCTGTCAAGCAGGACGTTTACAGCGAGGAAGTGTCTAAACCTAACCTGTTCAGGGCTAGTATTGTGCAAAATCATATTTTTTATTAATACAACCGAATGGATTTTTCTATCCATTTGTTGAGTAGCAAGAATACAGAAGTGCAAATTTAGATATAAGTGTATTGCGAGATGTGCATATTATTGCTACAGTCACTGTTTTTTATCACTTTTATCGGGCGAAATGTTCGCACGTGTCGCGAAATTAAGCCAATTGATTTTCATTCCTACACATCTCGATAACCAATGAGAGCAAACTCCGAACTGAATTTCTCCAAGCCCTTGACCAATCGATTGAGTTTCCGAGCCAAACAAAACTGTTATG